GAGAATTCAAGTCTCACTTTATAGGACTTGAAATTTATCATGGAATTCTTTAACTTCAAACGAGAAACTCTTCGTGGCAATTTGGAGACAATCTACATTCTCTTCTGATTTCAGCCTACCATCCCAGACCTGTCAATCTCTATTTGTTGTTACTCCTTGTCAAAAGCAGATTTTCCTTTCCAGGCAGCTTTTTCCTAAGAATAAGATATTCTTAGTTGGGGAAAGAAAAAAAATCAGCGGCCATGGAAAACCCGGCCTGGAGTAAAGCAGTTAGTCTATTTTACGATGATTAGTCAAACATTGGCATAATGTATGCTTTTAAGACAGACACTCAACAACCAAGGGGTAAGTGCTTTCCTGTATCCATTTTCTGTCATTTGCGCCCTAGGAAAGTCTGAAAATTTTTGGAGTGAAGAAACAAAGTATAACAGGGAAACAAAAGATTTAAGGAAACATTGATTTATGAAACAATTTCAATTTGTCCCTTATCTAATTGGGGCCCTGGTGGTGCAGCAGTTAAGAGCTTGGCTGCTAACCAAAAGGCTGGAAGTTCAAATCCACCAGGTGCTCCTTGGAAACTCCATGGGGGTAGTTCTGTTCTGTCCTGTAGGGTTGCTGTGAGTCGGAATCAACTCAAGGGCAACGGGTTTTGTTTTGGTTTGGTTTATCTAATTTGTTTATATTAACCTGGTTCTCTTAAATACATGGTTAGGTATTAAATTCCAATATAATAATTTAATTGGACATTTGTTTTTTTACCTCAGGCTGGAACACAGAAAGTTTGAATAGGCAAAGGCTCCAGGATAGTTGGCTTAAAAACAGAATATATTTCATTATGCCATCTTTTATCTTAAGACATAGAGCTGAAAGATGAATAGTGGGAAAAATGAGTAAAGTATATATTATGTATTAAAATAATGAAATTATGTATTAGAATAAACAAAATTTTATTATTTTATTTTTAAAATAACATTATTCTTTTAATAAAAAATAATAAGCTAGTAGAAATTTCTTTTTAAAGCTTTAATGAACCTTTCACCGTACTGAAGAATCAGTCACACTAGCTGCTTTTAGTCACAAAGAAGAGCATGTGTGGATGCGTCATTTATTATTCACTTCTTAGGCCCCTTCCACTCCTAGAAGTCTGTGATTGTAAAGAATACCCTGCGATGCAACCATTATTCTCAAACTCATCTGGCTGTGTTCCTCCTTGAAGTGTGGCAATGACAACTGCGCATGAAATTGAAGGTGTGCCATAGCTTTACAGAAAAGACCTTCTAGTGCTCTTGCTGGTGTTGAGAAGTTGAGAGGCTGATGGTCCTGCAGCGTTAGGACAATCTGTGTTCTTGATTGTAAGCACACACTAGCAGGTCTGCTTCTTGAGCTGTGCTGGCAGCCAGCATTCTGAATGTGTGGTTTTGCTACTTTACTCTGAAAGGCCTTGCCATGCACATACTCACTTTGGAACAATATGCTGCTTTACTGTTCATTTGCATAAGACTCCTGAGAGCTTTCTGTTATCCATCCTCATGAACTTGTCTTTCCACTTCCTAGCATGTAAGAGATTTCATTGACTGTACATAAATCAAACTGGTCCTGACTAACACCGGCTCCCGATGGAAAAAGCTCTTACATTTCTTCATGTGGGGTGCGCTGACTTCTCCCTATTCTTTGCATTCTGTCTCTGTCCCAGTTCTTTTTTCACAATAAAATAGGGACCCTAATCCCAAGGTGACTTCGTTTAAGTAACGGCCTTTTGTATGGAACCTTGTCAAAGGCCTTGAGAAAGTCGTTCTTTCCCCCTTTTTTTCTCCTTCCTATTTTATCTACTGAAAATGTTCTTAAAAAATTTATTTGGATTTCATTGTTTGGTACCCCCATTTTCTGTTATAGAATCGGCCGTTTCTACTCAGTCCTAAACATTGATGCAATGCCTGAGGTGAGCAAGGTCCAACTCACCTAGTATTGGTGAGCTTAGGAAAAAAAAAAAAAAAACACGTGTCATAGAGTCAATTCCAACTCTTGGTGACCCCACGTGTGTCAGGGTAGAACTGTGCTCCACTGGTGAGTTTACCACAATCTAAGTCTCTGCATACCCCTCGAATCCTTCTTTGTGACAGAGGTCACATTTGCAGTTTGGCACAGTAGCTTGCATAACAATAGATTTTAGTGGTCTAATTTCACCCTTGAGTTCCTGCAAAACTCCCATTCATCTGCCCTCCACTGTGGTAATTTATCTAGATTTATTGTGTCAATTTGGCAGAATAGCTCTGATAAAACCACTGCTTGATTTAATAGCATCAATCTTCCATTTCCAGGAACAGTATAGGACTAGAGATCTCTTTACTGTCTTCTTCATTAAAAGCTAAGGTTTAGAATTCACCTGTGAGCTATCACCATTTCACTTTTTGGAGAACTTTCTATTCCAAAGTCATCTGTGGTCAACCCTCTCCCTTGAGTTAAATTGTTCTCTCTGGTTCACTGATAGGAACTTATATTATTCTTGAAGTCTCATATATACTACTCCTCAATTTCTTTGCATATCTCTGTATGATCGCTAATCTTCCAGACTTTGTGGAATTTCCTATTCTCATTTTTGAACCATGTTTCAGCTTAGGAAAAGAAGCTAATTATTTCTTGAAATAAAATATTTGACACTTTCGGTTATCCATGCAACTGGGAATTCAGGGAACACGGAATAACTTTCAATAAGGTGTTTATACAAAGTAATTGCATTTTTATTATAGTCTATCTAAGAACTTGGCTGCTAACCAATGGTTGGAGGTTCAAGTCTAGCCAGAGGTACCTCAGAAGAAAGGCTGGGTGATCTACTTCCAAAACGTCAGCCATTGAAAACCCTATGGAGTGCAGTTCTACTCTGATACATGTGGGGTTGCCTTGAGTTGGAGTTGACTGATGGCAACTGGTTCCTCTAAAATTATTAAACAACTTAATGAGTAGACATTCATTATTTGAGGGCTATCATTAATAATTATTGATTAATATAAGAAATATGTTGATCACTAACTCTGTGTGAGACAAAGTGCTAGGGGCTGGGGATTTAAATAATTCAGAAGACCTCATCTCGGCCACCAAAAGTCTCATAGTGTGGAGAAGGGTCACATTGCACTTATGCAAATAAACATACCAAGATCATTCAGTGTTATGGGTGCCACATAATAGGTAAAAGTAGACTGGAGAGTGATTGCTGCCATATCTAGGAGAAAAGCTATTTTCAGAGCAAGGTGAATAATGAGTCTTGAAGAATAGGAGGGTGGGTTCTGGACAGATCATGGTGGGAAGGGCATATGCAGGAGGCATTAAACCGTATGACTATGGTGTAGGGTACACCAACAGAAATGGTAGCAGATGAGACTGGAGAAGAAAGCTATGTATGCCATGAGAAAGGGTTTGAAATGTATGTGTGAGCAAAAGGAGACAATAAGGGTTTTAAACAATGAAATAATATGGTCACATTTTCTATATGAGTGTGGAAGCAGAGATTATTTAAGAGATTATTACAGTGTTAAAGCAAGAGCTGGTGGAAGCAATGACATGGGGGATGGAAAAAAGGATATGGATTCTATAGACTGCTAAAGAGTATATTTTAGTCCCTCAAATATTTGTGCATGATAGTAGTGACTTGAGGGAGAGCAAGGAGTCAAGGGTGATCCCCCAGCATACATTTTTGGGTAACTAGGTACATAGCGGTTCTAGCAACCAGAAGAGGGACTGTTAGAAGAGGAAAAACAGGTTAGTAGTAGTGTTGGTCTGAGTATTATGGGAAGGCTTTGGAAAGATAATGAGTTCCATTTGAATGTATGTGGCTTGATGTAGGGTATCTAAGTGGAGATTTTGAATAAATAATTATATTGGTCTGGCACTTAGGCCTAGAAATATAAATAGGAGAATCACTAGCATAGAGTTCAAGCAATTTTGCATTCTGACTAGCTGTGTTTCTGAGCCTATGCTAAGAATGACAGCAACCAAGATGAATAACAAATGACTCCCTCTCTGAAGTCTAGTTTAGAATAAAGACAATCATATTATTTATTATATTTTATTCTCCTAATAGGACATCAGGTATATATGAATCTTATTCATATAAGTGATGTATTTTATATACTAAAGCTTTCTTGATACAGACTTTACATACCTTCAGCCACATTATTATTTTAAATAACTCTGTATGATTCTTAAGAGTAGCACCTAGCAAAGAAACAAATTACTAGTTTGATAGGCTTTTTGATTCCAAAGATATAAGAATAAACAGTTTATTCCAGTTGGAAAGTCATTTAGCTGAAACATACTTTTTGCAGTATACCTTTATGCCACATTTTGTGAAGGACACGTTAGTTATACTTCCTGAATACATGAAGATTTGGCAGCACTTGTGTGATTTAGGTACAATGATGACTATTCAAACAGATCTTTTAGTTTTGCCCTTTAAAAGATCAACTCTTTGAGAAGTACATATATCACATAAGCACAGTTGGCTTGAGGGTAGGAAAAGATGCTTGGAAGAAACGTGATAAAAATGTCCCCACCGTTACCCTAACCTCAAATTCAGGAATTCTCTGAATAAAAGGAAAAAAAAAGTTATTTCTGAAGACTTGCTTAAATAAATTATAGAAATTATGAAGTCATCCTGCACAAAACTTATTTGATGGAACCCAAACCTAAAAGCATGTTGCTATAATTTTAATCCATAGTTGGCTATCATATTTCCTCCGGCTATCAGTTCATTCTTTGAGCAAGTGACATATACAAAGAATAAACTAGAAGATTCTGTAGTCTCTTGAGAAAATAAACGTTGAATAGACAGGTTTTCTTTTTTAAGAAATATTCATTGAATTGTATTCACAATCTCTTTTAGAATGTACGTGTTCACATAATGCATGCAGCTACAGTGTCCTGTGATTTTTACAGAGTGGAAAAATGTCAAACCGCGTTAATGGAAGTGCTCCAAATGACATTTTTTTCCTATTATCATTAAACAGGGAAGGCCATGGTAAAATTTCAGTATTTGCTGTCAAAATGGCTTTAGCCACGTTGTGTGGAGGGAAGATCATGGACAAATTACGATGTAAGTTATTTGTGCTTCTCTTTGCTTATACCTCCTATGTACCACCTTGTCGTCTCCCACATTCCTACCATGTCCCCTTGCCCATCTGTGTCTTTCCTCATTCTCTGAGAGTTGTTGAAGTACAGTCTTCATCAACCTTTGGAATTTGTCATAGAAATATTTGCACAGTAAATAAATATTAATGAAATGCCTATTTTCCTCCTATTTATGAGTTATTATATTTATAACTTGTTGAATACCACCAACTAGACTGCTTCTGATATCAAAGTGAGACATTCATTCTTTCAAGTTCATTGATTAATCTCAGCACATGTGTACTGTTTTATATGCATAAGTCCATCTTCATAAGGCATCAGCATATTGGACCAATAGATAAGTGGAAAGGACAGCAAAGCCCCACATAACCACACATCTTACCTCAATTCCGGGGATTTCCTTTCACAGAATGGCCAAATGAACTCCAGTCAGCATTCAGAGAAGACCAACTAGAATTTATGATGGTTGATTTATTTTCCTTTTAGTTAGCCTAAGAGATACAGAGAATTGTAGGTGCAGGAACCAGTGTCTTTAAACAAACAAAAAAAGGCTTCAGAATAATCCAGGAGGCATTTCCTTCAGGGTTAGGCTGGAAAGAGAAAGTTTTGCAAAGTGAAGCAGGGCAGAAGCAGAAACTCTTGAGGGTCTTGCCTGCTGACCTCATGGCACAATTGGCCATTTATACTGAGAACATTAGATAAATGTAAAAAACAAAAAAAAAAACTTACCCAATATTAGTAAGTACCTCGATGAAAGAAACTCATATTAAAATGCATTTGGGAACAAACTGAGAAAACCTCTTCTCTGTCCTTCAGAACTCCTCAGAACCTTTAATGTACCAGGTTAAAGCTGTGCCATCGAGGACCCAGGTGCTTCCACCTTTCCACTGAGCCTTCCTCAGTGTTGGATTTCATTCTCCTCCTGGGGGAGAGGGAGTGCAGCAGTTTCAGGAATCACATTCTCACTCCAGAGGCCACCAGCCAACTTGTCTTTAAGTGTCATTGCCCAGGGTGGCCTTACAGGCCAGTTACTAAATCAATTACTAGTAGCAGGAAAGGAATCACCATGTTGATCATGGAGTAATCAGCTTTCACCTCCTGGGCTGGGAAGGCCCACTGCTTTCCCTTGGCACAACAACAAATTTTGGGCCAATAAAGAAAGAAGATGAGATGAAGGGAATAATTGTTAGGTAGGCAACTAAGAATGTCTACAGAGTTGCAAAGCTCAAGATATAACTAAGATTTTTAACAGATCTTTATCAATTTTCAAAACCCTTGCAGTTCTCTTGCAAGTCCAAGAGTTCAAAGCAGAGGAAACGGTGCACCTAGTACAGTTACCTTTCTCCTTATCCCATCCCCTTATCCCATCCCTTCACTCACCAAAAACAATTGATGAGCAAAGCATGCATGCTATCTAGTGGCCAAAGTAAATCCTCTTCAGTGCAGTGAAAGAAGCAACAAATGCATGAGTCCCATTTGGAGTTAAACTGAGTTCTCCAGTCTGCAGAAACAGCTATGCAATGTCACAATTCTGTAGAAAAACAAATAACACAACAGCAGTATAACACGGCCCCCACTCCCAGATCAGTACACTTGACTCACAGCCTTATGTATCCCTGGTTCTTCTGCTGTGGAGTCACTCTTTGTGTAGTTAATCCCAGGCAAGTGGTTATAATGGCTTCCAAGTAACTCGGTTGAAAGCAATTTGGCTAGAAACAATTTAGCTGAAACCAATTTGGTTAGAGGAATCTTTCCAAAATGTTAATTACTCAAAAATGAATATCTGTAGTCATTGGTATTTCTAGTTTCACTGCTAATTATCGATCGAATGAGCAAATATGGACAAACATACTCACCGACAGCAGTGGCTGACTCTTGGTGAAACAGGATTGTGGGTGTTTTCTATAGTCTTCATTTGCTGGCTTGCATTTAACAATAAAGTACACAAGGTAATGATTTTCTGCATTGCTTCTATAATAATAAAAAGTAAAATGAAAGGATATGGAATTTTTCAGGGTTTGAGAGATTTGTTTTCCCTTCTTTAAATTTTTCTAATTTCCCTTAAGCCAATATGCCAGCTGTTCTTGTTTGGCAATGTTTCTATTTTTGTGTGTAGGGATGAAGGATATTTAGTTTGTTCCAACTAATCTCTTATTGTTGGAGAGCACAGAGCAAGAATAATGAGCTGAAAATAATTTAGAAATTTTAAAAAGCGAAAAAGTAGAAAACAAAAGAAATTTTAAAGCTAATCTTTCTTTTAAAAAAAAATGCTTTAAAATACGTTAAAAGAGCTAACAAGCCCATGTTGCACCAGAATTTCCAATTCTCGGGGTACAGCAAACCAATATGCAGGGTATTCACTGAGTAACTCCAGGGGGCATCCCAAACACAGCTTAGGGTATAAAGGGTTCCCCCTGCAGTTACATAAAACAGATTGCCTAAACATAAACTGACCTGATACACCCCTTTTCTGTCAAATTTTTCTTGGCCCAGTTATAAGTTGTTAATTTAATGGGTTAGAACATTTGCTTATACCTCTGCTCTGTGGCTCCTGGATAGCCTGAAGATCTCAAGGGATTCTGAATCCAATGCCATAATCCTAGTATGGCATATGCTGTTCTAAAGCTTCAGGGGAAGGGTTGTTTGTTTAAAAGACTAGCATTATGGTAAATACCATGTAATTGTTGAGTTTCTATTACTAAACAGGCCAATTGCCTCCATGCCTACCTCCACAGTAAGGTTTCTAACTCACTGACCTGCTTTAAAATCTTCAGTTTCTCCCTTAGAATCTTCTGGACACAATCTGAACTCCTCAGTAGAGCTTTCAAAGCTCTTAATGTCTCATCTCACCTCCCTCCATGACCTTATGTGCACGCAAGGCCCCTGCAATACTGAACTACTTGAAGATCCCTGAGGGCATCATGCTTGCTCTCACTCATCTCCCTGTGTTTGCTAGTCTTGATCCTGTTTCCTAAAGCCCACTCCCCTTATCTGTGTCTGAGTAACCATTAATTGTCCTTTAAACTTGGCCCAGACACTGCTGTAAGGAAATCTTCCCTGACCCACTGCTCCCTCTGGGGCCTTCTCTCTGAGGCCCCACTTCATCATGTATACCCTACTGTTAAACATTAATTATACCACCATGTTATGATGTGCAACATTACATGATGTATAATGTAAGCACTTCTCTAAAAACCTCAATAGATGAGACCTCCTATAGGACAAGAACACAGTCCTGATTTTCCTATGTATCATAGCCTAGCACAGTTTTGTGCGTTTAGTATTTTCTAAGTTAATTTTAGCTGAATAAGTCAATGAATTTAAGTTCTTCCAAGTAGCTATGATCATAAACAGTAAAAATATGGAAGTTGTCAAAGACTTAATTTTAAATGGACCTACAATCAACACACATTGGAAGCAACAGTCAAGAAATCAAACAATGTATTGCACTGGGCAAATCTGCTGCAAAAGACCTCTTTAAAGTGTTCCAAAGCAAAGACGTTACATTGAGGACTAAGTTGTGCCAGACCCAAGCTATGGTGTTTTCAGTCACCTCATATGCATGTGAAAACTGGACAATGAATAAGGAAGACCGAAGAAGAATTGGTGCCTTTGAATTATGGTGTTGGTGAAGAATATGGAATATACCGTGGACTGCCAGAAGAACAAACAAATCTGTCTTGCAAGAAGTACAGCCAGAATACTCCTTAGAAGTGAGGATGGCGAGACTTCGTCTCACATATTTTGGTCATGTTATCAGGAGGGACCAGTCCCTGGAGAAGAACATCATGCTTGGTAGCGGGTCAGCAAAAAAGAGGAAGATCCTCAAGGAGGTGGACTGACACAGTGGCTGCAACAATGGGATCAAACATAGCAAGGACTGTGAGGATGGCGAAGGACCAGGCAGTGTTTCATTCCGTTGTGCATAGGGTCACTATGAGTTGGAACTGACTCGACAACACTTAACAACAAGTAGCTATCACTGTATAGAGCTGTAGCAAATACAAATGTGGTTTAAAATATGGTCTGGACCCTTCCAGAACAATCACACTAGAGAGGCAAGCCTAAACATATGAGGCAGATAATAGAATAAAGCGATGTGTAATTAATAATAAAAATAACTGTACCACATACTAGGTGCCAAACACTATTCTAAGTATGTATCATTTTAATAGCTTCCTCAAAATCCTTTCATTTCTTTTTAAAAACCTGAGTGGCCATTAAAAGCTGCTTTCCTTTAACCCCAGTGATCTAGCCCTAGTTTGGCTATTGCCTAGCAGAACTTAACACAAATAAGTTAATATTAACTTTAAGTTTGTGAAAAGTCAGTGTTGATACTCCTTCTGCTTTTACTTTAATTAGAGGCATTGCCTAATTTGTTTCCGTGAGAAGTTTGAAAAATCTAGACTACTAGACTAGAATATTCCCTGGCCTAGAAAATCAGAGCCTAGAAGATAATCAAGACAACCAATTATAGTCAACCAACCTGCCTAGAGAAAAAAGATGGCAGCTCTAATAAAGGGGCCAAATTTGCCTCTCCTAGGTTTCCTTTTCCCCTTTTTGATTGGAATTCTTGATTTTTTTTGTATATTTAGAATTACATAAGAGTTGTTTTGTTTTTTGCTGTTGGCAACTTTTTTTTTTTTTGACTACTCAAAATGGAACATGAAAGATAAAATCCACTAAGTAAACAGCATTGTGAAGGTAGGTGAAAACAACATTAATTTGGTTGATCATATAAAATTTCTCTAGCCTCATGATAAACTATTTGGAGCACAGTAGAAATCCATTATAACTGGGTTTCTTGGTATGAGTATTTAAAGAAAGTGAAAGTCAATTCACATCCTCAAAACATAATCCAGTAAAAGCCTATATTATGTTTAACATCTGACCACGGCGTAAAAGCAAAATGTCTCCAGATTACATTTGACCTTGAAAAATTAAACCCAAAATGTGCTAGCACAGTGAACTTATCACAGTTTGCCTGGCAGCGGTGCTGGCCTGGTGACAATCTAGTTAGCATGGTGACAAACTACATAATAGCAAACCCTTTCATTCCAGTAGTGATTTCCACAGAGGAATCATAAAGTACCTTGGAAAATTATGCCATTAATATTCATTAAGTGCACATAATGGCAGAAGCTGAAGAATACAGGTTCAGTGAAGCCACCAGCTCTACAGAGAATATTCCAGGACCTGACTTTGCCTCGTTGATCATTCACAAGGCCAGGCTTCTTCACTGCATGAGTCAAAAGGAGCCTCTCCCATAAATCAAGAGGCTTCCACTCAGAACACTATGATTTATAGAAAGTTTTCTGCTTCTGTGGGAAGTTAATCAAGTGTTTTAGTTACATTCTTATCCCCATTGTGTCTTTCATTTTTCAAATATCTTAAGCCAAAATTCCACAAGTTTTAGTGATAATATAGATGGATAAATAGCTAGCTAGCCAGGTAAATAGGTACACATACACCTCAACTTTGTAATAAAGCTCCTCTGTGACTTTCACATGAGCTCAGCATATTTATCACATATACAAAATACTCTTATTGCATTATTTATGGGAAACCCTGGTGGTGCAGTGGTTAAGAGTTCAGCTGCTAACCAAAAAGTTGATAGTTCATATCTACCAGGCGCTCCTTGGAAACCCTGTGGGGCAGTTCTACTCTGTCTGTAGGGTCACTATGGGTCAGGATCGACAACAGTGGGTTTAGTTTTGGATTTTAATTGACCTCAGAAGAAAAAATCATTTCTATATCTTATCAAAATATGTTAATTTATACAAATTACTAGTTAATGCTATGTGCCAAAATCATCAAAAAAACAAAACAAAAAAGACACCAGAGAAAACACCCTGCCAGGAATATTTCAGCATAAAAACTAGCTTTTATATTATTCTTTCATTTAAAAAACTAATATATTTATGCTACTGCAGTTTTTTGTTATTTGCCACAGATATGTTGAACTAAAACAGTGGTGAATGTTTGTGTGATGAATAAATACCTTTCCTTTTCCTTCCATCAGATATTTTCTCAATGATTTCTGACTCTAGCGGGGTGATGATTTATGGACGATATGACCAGTTCCTCCGGGAAGTTCTCAAACTACCCACAGCAGTTTTTGAAGGTCCTTCCTTTGGTTACACAGAACAGTCAGCTAGATCATGTTTCTCTCAACAGGTAAGGAAAAATTATGCTTAAGGAAACATCTCTCAAATAGTTGTTGCTCTTTTTCTGTATGTCACACCAAGTCACATAATCTTCAACAAATGCTTCTTCATGATAACAAGCTGTTGTATATTTTCCACCTCTGAAAAATGACCTCTGAACCAGCAACTAAACCCAATACGCCTGGGTAATAATAATAGTTGATATATACTGACCATCAGCCAGGTCATGCTTAGATAAAATTTACTGGCTTTTTCTAATTTAATCCTTACTACAACTCTGTGGCCTCGGTATCGTTATTATCACTGCACTATGGAAAGGGCAGAATTGTGACTCGGCCTCACATGACACACAAGTCTGACCCAGCACCAAGCTTTACCAATGTTTAGCAAAGGAAGAAGAAAGGACTCAAAGCTCATACCATATCAAGATTTGGAAGGCCCATAATACAACAAACAGCTGCTTAAACCTTCCATGACATGATGCATTAGGATTCAGAGGAGTTTTAACTGGGGTGTGGTATAAGTTAGCCCAGGAAAGCTGCTTAGTTTCAAAGGCTCTCCATATTTATATCTCTCAGCCCTGGTGGCACAAACAGTTATTTGCTTGGCTGCTAACCAAAAGACTGGTGGTTCAAATTTATCCAGTGACTCCATGGAAAAAAGACCTGGCGATCTGCTTCCATAAAATTACAGCCAAGAAAACCCTATGGGGCAGTTCTACTCAGTCACATGTGGTCATTCTGAGTAGAAATCAACTCAATGGCACCCAACAAAAACAGTCATGAAGAAGAAGTCCCTGGGTGGCACAAACGGTTAAGTGCTCAGCTGCTAATCAAAAGGCTGAAAGTTCGAGTCCACCCAGAGGCACCTGGAAGAAAGGCCTGGAGATCTCCTTCTGAAAAACCAGCCATTGAAAACCATATGGAGTGCAGTTATACTCTGACACACATGGGGTCACCATGAGTTGGAATCGACTCCAGGGTGACTGGTTTTTAGTCATGTAGGAAGGTTACATGTCTAACATCCATTCTCCAGCACAGCACAGTAGTTAATGATTTGTAAATCCACAAATGAAAAGTTTGTTTACAATTTTAAAATGCCCGAAGTAACCGGGTATGTCCTCTAAAATAATTCCTTGAATAAGAAGTCAGTACATAGCAGCCCCTAGAAAACACTTATTACTATCAGCTAGTAAATTTTATCAGTCTGTTTACCTGGTAGTCTGGGAGGTCAAAACTGCTTGGGGCCTCCCCACCTAGGGAGGAAGCAACCAGCTTACCTATGTTTAACCCTTTCTTTCCCAGCTATCATCTTACAGTGATGAGCAGAGGATCAAAGAGGTTAAGTAACTTACTCAAGGTCACCCAACTAGTCAATAACAGAACCAAGATTTGAACATGGCTAAATACCTTGTGTTTGTTAAGCATTTCCAGTGAATTAGGCACTTTGATGAATGCTTTACAGCCTCACACCATTTACTCCTCTCTATAGCCCTCTAAGGGAAGTACTAGTATTGTCCCTATTTAACAATATAGAAACTGCGGCTCAGCATGTAAAGTGGCTTGAGCAAGAGACATATGGATAGCAAGTGGCAAAGCCAAGATTCAGGTCAATGCCTGTCATATTTCAGAGCCTTTATTCTTACTCATTACTCTTTCTGACTCCAAAGCATGTGTTCTTACCGCTCTGTTATTTTCTCCAATATTAGGAAATGGGTAGCTAAAAGAACCTTCCCTTCCTGCTGATCTTGGGAAATGACCACTAGGGTCCCAAAGTCTGAGATCAAAGTAGCACAGATCACATGGACAAAGGAAAGCCACCACTCCCTAGATGAATTTATGTTTAGATAACACCATGGTAAAAGATGTTAAGTATTAAGGTTGTGGATTTACATAATATCAGAATCTATCCATCTTATTTCAAGTACAAAATCAATAAGGGAAGGAAGGTTTGATATACTAAGCACCTAACTCTGCTCCCATGTCATCTCACCCAGAAAGCTTTTCTGACCTCCCACTGCCCTACCCCAGGCAGGCTTAGGTGCTCTAGTGCATGCTTCTTTATCTCTGCCCCCAACTAAAGCATGCCCCTCTTTATATTCCCTTTTGGGGTTGGCAATATCAGAATGGATCCATTCACCTAAGCCTCTTGCCAGATTCCTCTACCTCACCCAGAGCTTCCCACCAATCATCATCACGTCCTGCTGATTTCACCTTCTAACATTTTCTCAGATATGTTTCCTTCTCTGTCATCTATCTCCTGGGCTATTGTATTAACCTCCAAACTGGTCTCTTGCCTCTGCATTTATTTGTCTGTTTGTACATTTGTTTATTTGTTGTATACCCCATTGCATTCCAAACTATTCTGGAACCTCATTTTTAAAAAATATTTTAGGGAGCCCTAAAAATATGTATAATACAACAGGGAGAAAACAAGAACGGTGTCCTCTGTTTTAATCTGTTTCCCACAATGCCCACATACCACCATGCCATTCACCTGCTTAGCGGCCTTCCTTGCCTACAGGGTAGCACTTCCTCTCTTGAGGTTGTGTTCAAGGCCCTGTGGGCCCTTCTGTCTTTCTCCAGCTCATTCTCCTCCCTCAGATGGAGTCCTCTGCCTCCTTTCCCTCTCACACCACGCTCTTTCGTGAGTCTGTGCTTCTGTTGATGCTGTTTTCTCTGTCTTGAGCATCCTATGCGTTTCTTGCCACCAACTACTTTTTCTTGCCCAAATGTCACAGTCTTCAAGAAGCCTTTCACAAAAGACACCAAGCTTCCTATCTGAACCATCTTTGTATCTTTAAAAAGTTGTATCACTGTCCTATAGAAGGCAGTCAACAAATTCTACACTGAATTATACTCATTTCAGAGTGAGTGAGTCTTTTCTTTTTTTACTGAAATTGTCTTTTAAAAGCATGTCAATTATTTCAAAGCACAAATCCACTAACCTAATTTTTTACAACTTCAATGCTTTCCAACTTTTTTCATGGCTTTCTAAATGTACAACTCCTGTATTTTTACAGTACTTTACAGTTCACAAAGGGATTTATCTGATTTATGCCTTACAATAACCCTGTGAGGTAACAAGGAAAATACCAGTTTTCTTTTTTTAAGTACTTTAAAGTTCACAGCTATGAGTGTGGGTAGCTGGGTCTTTAACTCTTGTCTTCTGACTCCAGTTCCAATTTGTTGTTGTTGTTCTGCTTTTATTTTGTACATTGTCAGTTCATATCTACAAACATGCAGATGGTCTGACCCAAGGAGTTGTAAGCACATGTTATGTTGAATCACTTAATCACAGGAACAAAAAAAAATTTTATCTACTGCTGGATTCTTAGCTTTTAGGAAGTGTGTTCTAGAATCCACAGTAAATTTACTAATGCCTCACAGTAGTCCTCATTTAAGACTAGCTACAGTAACAGGACAGATTTTTTAAATATAATAGAACTTACATATTCAAAAAGAAACATGTATGCTATGATGTTGCCATTGTTCAAAATATTCTTTGAAATATCCTATAGACTGTCCTATAGGGTCGTTGTAAGTTGGACTCGACTCGATGGCAATGGGTTTGGTTTTTTTTAGGGGGTCCTGATATATAATCTTGTATATATCTGCAGTGATGACAAGTTTATACATGTTGAAATCGTAGTAATATTTTTGGAAGTTCCAGAAGTGATTTTTAGCCAACGTGGTGAATGCTCAAAAGGGATAAGAATATATGAGGTGCAAAAATAGGAACACAAACAAAAGTAATAAAATCAGTTTATTTTTGTGCTTCATGAACTGGCTATAACAGTTAGAATGATGAAATTCCAAAACTGTTTGAATTGCTTTATTGGAAAAATTTCAAAGCTGCCCCAAGTGATTGTTTTGAAAGATAATATTCTTTTAAATACCTAAATTGTAGTTTAAAAAAATTTTTTTTAAAAAAAACCAAACCCATTGCTGTGGAGTCAATTCTAACTCATAATGATCCTATAGGGCATGGTAGAACTGCCCCATAGGGTTTCCAAGGCTATAAATCTTTTTTTTTTTAACAATTTTTTTTTTATTGTGCTTTAGAGGAAGATTTACAGAGCAAATTAGTTTCTCGTTAAACAATTAATACACATATTGCTTTGCATCATTGGTTGCCAACCCCACAACGTGTCAACTTGGGTTCCCTGTTTCCATTCATTCAGCTTTCCTGTCCCCTCCTGCCTTCTTGTCCTTGCCCCTGGGCTGGTGTATCTATTTAGTCTCGTATAGGTGGTTGAGCTACGTGTATTATTGTTTGTTTTATGGGACTGTCTAATCTTTGACTGAAGGCTGAACCTCAGGAGTGACTTCCTTACTGAATTAAAAGAGTGTCAGGAGCCATACTCTTGGGGTTTCTCCAGTCTCTGTGAGACCAGTAAGTCTGGTCTTTTTTGTGAGTTTGAATTTTGTTCTACATTTTTCTTTAGCTCTGTCCAGGACCCTCTATTGTGATCACTGTCAGAGCAGTCGGTGGTGGTAGCCGGGCACCATCTGGTTGTGCTGGACTGTCTGGTGGAGGCTGTGGTAGTTGTGGTCCGTTAGTCCTTTAGACTAATCTTTCCCTTCTTTCTTTGCTTTTCTTCATTCTCCTTTGCTCCAGATGTGGGGGGGACCAGTGGAGTATCTTAGATTGCTGCTCACAAGCTTTTAAGACCCCAGACGCTACTCACTAAAGTAGCATGTAGAACAATTTCTTTATAAACTATGGTATGTCAATTGAGCTAGATGCCCCCCGAGACCATGGTCCCCAGCCCTCAGCCCTCAGCCCAGTAATTTGGCCCCTCAGGGAGTTTGGATTTGTCTGTGAATCTTCTATGACTTTGTCTTGGTGAAGTTGTGCTGGTTTCCCCAGTATTGTGTACTGTCTTACTCTTCATCAAAGTTACCACTTATCTATTGTCTAGTTAGTGTTTTTCCATCCTCACCTCTCCCCTCCCTCGTAACCATCAAAGATTGTTTCTTTCTGTGTATAAACCTTTTCATGAGTTTTTATAATAGTGGTCTCATACAGTATTTGTCCTTTGGATATTGACTTATTTCACTCAGCATAGTGCCCTCCAGATTCATCCATGTTGTGAGATGTTTCACAGATTTGTCATTGTTCTTTATTGCTGCATAGTATTCCATTGTGTGTTTGTACCATAGTTTGTTTATCCATTCATTTGTTGGTGGGCACTTAGGTTTCCATCTTTTTGCTATTATGAATAATGATGCAATGAACATGGGTGTGCATATGTCTATTCATGTGATGGCTCTTCCTCCTGGCAGTGGGATTGCTGGATCGTATGGTATTTCTATTTCTAGTTTTTTAAGGAAGTGCCATATCATTTTCCAAAATGATTATACCATTTTGCATTCCCACCAGCAGTACACAAGAGTTCCAATCTTCCCGCAGCCTCTCCAGCATTTGTTATTTTCTGCTTTATTGATTCGTGCCGGTAATGAGATGGTGCCTCACTGTAGTTTTGATTTGCATTTCTCTAATGGTTAGTGATCATGAGCATTTCCTCATGTGTCTGTTAGCCACCAAGGCTGTAAATCTTTTGGAAGCAGACTGCCACGTTTTTCTCCTATGGAGCAGCTGGTGGGTTCCAACCACTGATCTTTCAGTTAGCAGATGAATGCTTAACCACTGTGCCACCAGGGCTCTTCTGAATTGTGTTAGCCTTTCTTAAATACTGTCTCATTCCTTATATTTTATATAATATATACTTTAATAACAAATGTTCATATCAATCCTATACAAAGTTTAAGCTCTTTAGTATTATGAATTAAAGCTAAAATTGTAAATAACTGCTGAAAATAAAAGATTAAAGAGTAACAAATGTTTTGTGAATTACGAGTACTAGTACTAGCTCATCTAATAGTAAGCTTTGGGACTTGAAAAGACACTTTACCACTTCAGAACTGTTTTCTTATCTGAAAAATTAAACTGTTGCTCTTAACACCCCATCCACTTTCATATTCTAATTCTAAATTTCAAATAACATAATTATTTTAAATATAAATATGTATTTTTTGTTGTTCATATTACAGTATAAATCAATATAATTTTATTTTTGACATTTTGAAAGAAGCATATATGTGTATATATATATGATACATTTCCTTTCTACATCAGAAAGAACCAGGATAATGAGACAGAAGCAGACTGAATTTAGAGAAAAACATATATAAAGAAAGGAGAGAAGAGAATGTTTACAAATTTAAAGTGTTCCCTCTGAACAGGCAAGGATTATGTATTGCACTAATCTTGTATAGTGTGCCATTCACATTAACCACTAAATATTTAGCGCTTAACAGAAGCTGAGAAAATTTGAAAGAGAAGTTGTTCTACAAATTTAGAAGACTGACTGATAATGGGAATTTATGACTTGGTATAATTCAATGTAGAATTTCTCTTCTTCATCTTTTCTCATCTTTTTCAAACAATCCCTCATATATGAAAGTGATGCTCTTGGAATTGTTTTTCTCATTTTGATAATATTGACTGAGCCTCAGTGGAGATAATAAAGTCCTGGGTATGTTTAAGTATAAAAAGCAATCGATGTATCAAATCCTGAACCAGCTTAAATAGCACAATTGCTAAGTTTTATTTCTTCATATTAGAGGTTAATTGAATGCCTTGTTTCTTCAGTCTCAAATACTTACATTCCAGGTAAATTGAGATTAGTCTCTCTTATCCTTGATTTTTGCTTGTTTTTGATGCAGAAAAAAGTCACATTAAATGGTTTCTTGGACACACTTATGTCTGATCCTCCTCCCCAGTGCCTGGTCTGGTTGCCCCTTCTACATCGACTGGCAAATGTAGAAAATGGTGAGTACTTACTACTGAGGAAAGACAGCTTTTTAAATCATTACAATTAAACCATCAAGTCTTCAGTTATTAAGCCAAGGTCATTGTCTTAGAAAGTCTATTTAGTAGTTCTTAGTTTTGTTTAGTATAGAACTAAACCTTCTGCCTAATCTGTAACAGCTTATAGGAGGACTGTCAGTTCTAAAAATTTATCAGATCTCATGACATACCTCTCACAAGTCAGATGTGGCTTAAAGACTTGGTACAGCAGAAGGAGAAGAACCTCAGTAAAGAATCTGACAGTTTCTATTATTTGTTTTAGATCTGAATTTCCAACACTGCTATACATGACATTGATGATTTCTTCCTAAGTACTTGGACAAAAATAGGTGTGGGAAATGGCGAAGATTGGATGGTAGCTCCTTGCTAATCTTCCATCATATGCTCCAAATACTAAAATTTCAATAGTTGTAGTTATGTAAAAGTTAATAGTAATGTAACTTTTGTAACATGCTTTTTTATAAAGGTAACTATTTCTATCATAAAAAGTAATACTGTTGGCATATCCAAATTTAAATATGAAATATAGTTCATAACAAAATTTAAATAAATTCAAACATGGAGAAATTTATTGCCTCCATCTAATCTTTAAAACCCAAAACCAAACCCCTTGCCATTGAGTCAATTCCGACTCATAGTAACCCCACAGGACAGAGTAGAACTGCCCCGTAGGGTTTCCAAGGAGTGGCTGGTGGATTCGAACTGCCGACCTTTGTCTAGCAGCCAAGCTCCTAACCAGGGCGCACCCCAGGCCTCCATCTAATCTTTGAGTGTTCTTATTTATTAGTTAATTTAATCTGAAATTCCTAGAAAGTAATTTATCCTGTATCTCTTACTAGAATCATAACTTCTATATATTTTGTTAATAAATATCGGGACTAAAATTAGCCTAATTTTGAATTCCCTTTCAGAACTTTTAACAACTGCTTTTATCATCTCTCTTGGTTTAAAACTATGAGTTCATCTTGTTTTGCTCATGGAGAAAATTTAAAGAATTAATTTACCAGTTTCTCTACAATCACTACTCATCATATTTTATTTTGTTCTTATCCCTATGCAGCAGCAAAGAGCATTTGAGGTTCAGATCATACAGTCATACAGGATGAGTTCATATTACTGCCAACAGTTCCAGAACTAGTCATTTTCCAGTCATAAAGCTGTAATGTCATCCCTTCTCTCTTAGTATTTCCTGTTGTAGGAGATGAGTTCCCCAGGAGCTATCCCAGAGCAGTTGTCCCCAGATGCAGGTCCCACCCCTGTCTCCCAAGACCCAGAAAAAGGAGGATATGATGCTTGTTCAGAGGACAGTGCATTAAAAAAATGGCTATGTCTTTGTTTTTACAATGTACTTTTTATCTTCACTTTTTCTTATTTACATTATTTTTCCTGAATGGCTAGGCAAAGAATAACTTTACCCAAGGCAAGAATTGTTGTTGTTGTTTTAATATCTTTAGCTTATAACATGTACATAATTACTTGGATCGGATTATTTATTAATTTCAAATCTCAAATATTTTACTTTGCCTGCTTTATAATTTGATTTCCTGCCAAAGAAAGTTAAGTGTTTCTTGACCTATCTGAATCAGAACTATGTTCATATAATATTAACATCTTTTGTGGCCCCTATTCCCTGCAGTGCTTAAGAGCTCAACTGTTAACCAAGAGGTCAGCAGTTCGAATCCACCAGCCACTCCTTGGAAATCCTGTGGGGCAGTTCTACTCTGTCCTATAGGGTTGCTATCAGTCAGAATCGACTTGACGGCTTGGTTTTTGTTTTGTTTTGTTTTGTTTTAATCCACGTGCCTCAGGAAAGAAAAAAATCTGTTTGTTAGATGAAGGCAGTGTCAGTCATTAAGTAGCCACTCCATTAGCCGCCCCATTTTTTGAAAGTAACTCATTGCTCTCCTCCCGTGTTTCTACTCTTCCCACATTCCCCTTTCTTTTTCCTTCCTGTCATTCTCCATTCCTCTAATATTTGCTTTGTACCCACTGGACAGTCAGCTGTATTCATCCATTGTGTTTCTAAATCTCCCACCAAGCTGTGCTGGTCTCCTGGAGACAGAGAGCAGTTTTTTGGAAAGACCAGCTGGTTTGGATAATTTATATTCTTTTTGCGTAAGAGATGGGCGTAGAGAGAGCAAATGGCATTACAGAGATTTGTGTTGTTAAGAGGACACCTATTCTCCATCTCTATTTCATTTCTTCCACCCCCACACACATGCTTGAAAAGAGTGGTGAGATTCCAGGAATAAACTTAATGCTTCTCTCAGCTAAGACTGACCGTCTAGAATCATGGCACACCTCAGAAAAATGCAATTCTGCTAAGCTATATGTTTCCTTATTCTGGTTCATTCTTTTTTTTCTTCTTCATCTTCATTTACTTCCCCCTAGTCTTCCATCCGGTTGAGTGTTCCTACTGCCACAGTGAGAGTATGATGGGATTTCGCTACCGATGCCAACAGTGTCACAATTACCAGCTCTGTCAGGACTGCTTCTGGAGGGGACATGCCGGCGGTTCCCATAGCAACCAGCACCAAATGAAAGAGTACACGTCGTGGGTAAGGCAAGGTCCATTCCATAGTTACGGTTAGATGTGGGAGCATTGCCCAAGATGAAAAGAAATATCAAGGATTGTGACAGAATTAAGGAACAAACTTACTTTCTACCCCAAGTCTAACATTCCTTCCCTTTATCCCCCTCCCCACCCTGCCTTACTGAGATCTCTTTCTTATATCTGAGCCCAGTGTGGCTTCCTGGGACATAAAAATATAGGAAGACTCAAACTGTGTTACTTGTTGGAATACAGATAATTCGTTACTAATTTACATAACAACCAAACAGCAGGTACCTTCTGGAACATAATCTTCATTTTCACAGTAAGTTAAGCTTTTTTCCCTGTTTTGTTTGTTTTTTTGGAATTACTGAAAAATTATTGTTAGTTTCTTTTTCTTATATTCTGGAATTCTAAGATTCTTGAACTTAAACAAGTATGGGTGTGTGGGCTTGATGATACCGTTCGATTTTACCTTTCTGCAGGGCTGGGAGGATTGTGGTTATATTAGCAAATCACCTTTTCATGAATAGTCTGAATGACCAGCTTCTAAAGGTGACCTGTGAGTGTCTGTCCATGGGGTAGATGTGTCCTCAGGGGCACAGGGCACTAGGTCAATGAGAGGAGTTAGACTATCTCAGTATGCTTGCAGTTCAAATGGTTTACAGTTTGCTGACTTCTGTCTCTGTTAAGCTCCAATGATGCTGCTCTATGCTTCTGTTAAAATATTGTTCTATGTATAGATTTTTTTTTTTTTTTTTTTTGTGGCATGTACCATCAGCCCCTGCCTGTCCCTCTTGGAATAATTTGATTACAAAAAAAAATTTTATGATCTTTCTTATATTTTAATGTATTAAAATTCAACCGATAGTCACTTAAAGTTTAACTGATTGTTCTTTAAGAAAAGAAAATCTTCAGAATATGCATTCTATATCAGAATGTTCTTTCTAAAAATTATTATTAGGAACTGAGATTCAGTGTAAACGTACTTTATCACCTGTCAGATTCTGAATTCAAGTAACAGTTCTTCACTAAGGCATCATATACGGGGGGCTTCATGCCGGTTTGAGTGCTACCCTCACTTTTGGTTATGTAATATGCTGAGGATAGAAATCTTAACCCAGATCATGAAATACAGTTTATTATAGAAGATAGGAGAGAACACTTTTTATTTTCTTATGGTTAACCTATTACCAAACTTTAGGCTTGTTCTGTTCCAAATCCTGGAGTAGTGGTGTTTGAAGATCAATCATATTTCACTGTCATTTTATAGACATGTTAAAACCATGCAAGGAGTCTCTTTCTTAGAGGTTGTAGACTCTAGAATTACACGGCAGAGCACTGTCTTCACAAACTAGGATCTGACTCCCCAAGAAGACAGAGCGGCCCCACGGCGTGCGGCGTGAAGAGCTGTTGTTATTGCTGCTGCTACTGCTGCTGCTGTTGTTTTTAGTGTTCTAAGAATCGCATTTCCTAACAAAAGCCAAAGAAGGACTTCTTCAACAATACTCCCATTATTGAGTTTTTAAATAATGAGGACAAAAGTTACTTCAGAATAATAGCAGTTATGGACTGTCTGAATAAAAAGAAGTGACAAAATTATAAATGGCTTCTCACGGAAAGGAAAATTTGGGTTAAAGATTTATTTCATTAGTAGACTCTTTTTCATCATTTTGGATGTGAGATTTTAATATAAACATTCCATCTACCTAAATGAAAGAGAGGTGGCACAGTGCTCTGGAAAAAACATGAGCTTTGCACTCTGAAGACTTGGATTTAAGTTCCACTTTTCCTTCTAACTGGAAAGCTTAGGCCATATCTGAAACACCTCTCACCTGGAGTCCTGCGAAAACTCTTGCTCATCACCCCCCTTCCACTCCTATCCCCTCCCAGACCCTTTTCTGCACAGAAGCTAGAGCAACGCTTCTAGAATCAGGTCTGATTGTGTCACCCTTGTGATTTAAATGTCGCGTTGGCTTCCACTGCCCCTGAAATAAAGACCACAGTCCTTTATGTGGAGTGTAAGAACCTTGATGATCTGCCTCCTGCTATCCTCTTCAGGATCGGGTCTCTTTTCTTCCTCCCTTTGCAGTTGCTGCTTCCTCCTTCTGGAATTCCCTTCCCTTTCCCCTGAGTTTTTGTCAAGAGGACTCCTGCTGGTCAATTAAGTCCCAGCTCCTGGGTCCCATGTACAATAAGCAATTGCATTTATCACAGCACTTGCTAACACTAAGTAGTAGGGCAGGTACCTGGTGGCTTGTTCCAATACTCTGTCCCCAGCAAACTTCTTGTCTTGTAAACCATTGCCATTGAGTTGATTCTGACTCATAGCGACCCTATAGGACAGAGTAGAACTGCCCTGTAGGGTTTCTAAGGTTGTAAGTCTTTATGGAAGCAGACTGCCACATTTTTCTGCCACAGAGCGGTTGGTGGGTTCGAACCGCCGACTTTTCAGTTAGCAGCCAAACACTTAACCACTGTTCCACCGGGGCTCCTTTCCTGTCTTAAAGTAGTTACTCAAAAAGGATTTCTTGAATGAACAAATGCATGGCTACCTACTATGAAAAGCAAGGCATCTGATAAAGTGTTAACATAAATGTTATTTGTTATTACTTCTACCTTTCTTGTTCTTTCCAGAAATCACCTGCTAAGAAGCTAACTAATGCATTAAGCAAGTCTCTGAGTTGTGCTTCCAGCCGTGAACCTCTGCACCCCATGTTCCCTGACCAGCCTGAGAAACCTCTCAACCTGGCCCACATCGTGTGAGTATCTCTGCCTCCAGATTAAGTGACATCTTTCTTTACTGACACAGATCCCGACCCATACAAAGTCAATTTCATATCGCTTGTCAAGGACCAAGTTTCAAATTTTAATTTAAAAAAGAATAAAAGTAATATCATTTTAATTTTTTTCTTGTTGAGGTATACAGTACTTCTTCCCAGCTGGACAAGTAAAGTATGCAATGCTAACATAATTCACCTAGAGGTGGAAACTATTCACAAAGCATAGTTCTAACATATGGATGTTAGTGGAGTTTGCACAACTGGAAGTTAAGAGTCAGTGGAATTACCATGGTAAGAAAATTTTAAAACATATTATGTCTTAGCATCATAGGTGCTTTCAGTCCCAAATATAAAAAGTCCTTTATTTCATTTCTCTGCAGAGCCACTCATCTTAAAGATTCTAGAAACCTAGAAATTGCTTCTTTTTTGTTTTTTTAGTCCCAAGCTACATAACTTTAAAAGCATCATAGTCTGAGAAGGGGAGGGTTGAAGAGGGCAGTCCATGGGAAAAGTCATCAAAACAACCACAAATGGATTGTTTCCAAAAAAAAAAAAAATTCCCCAAAGTACGTGTGAGTTTGAAGGAGGTGGACCAAGGAATGGCGCTGTCACCCATTCCTTTCACCTCCCAGAAGCCTCATGCCCAGCCTCTCTCAAGATAATAGAGGAGGCTTTAAAAAAAAAGCAAACCTGTTGCCATCGAGTCAATTCCAACTCATAGCAACCCCACAGGACAGAGTAGAACTGCCCTGTAGAGTTTCCAAGGAGCGCCTGGTGGGTTCGAACTGCTGACCATTTGGTTAGCCTCCGTAGCTCTTAACCACTATGCCACCAAGGCTTCCAGAGGAGGCTTAGGTAGAAGGAAAGGAGCCCTGGTGGTGCAACGGTTAAGCACTTGGCTGCTAGCCGAAAGATTGGCAGTTTGAATCCATCCAGCACCTCCGCAGGAGAAAGACCTGCTCCCGTAAAGATTACATCCTAGAAAACCCAATGGGACAGTTCTGCTTGGTCATAAGGGATCACTATGAGTTGAAAATGACTCAAAGGCACACAACAACAGCAAGGTAGAAGAAAGTTTCTTCCTTGTCATTATCTTGGGCACAAAAGAAGAAGCGCATTACTTGCTTCTATGAACAATTAGGAATTGTGTGGTCACAGGTGCCTCTGAAGGCCTCTAGAATAGGTGGGTACCCCTCCTTATAAACTGCCTTTGGTTTTTCACAGTTCAGAGGGACCTACTGTACTGCAAGTCCCTTGTTTGCATGTTGACATCAAGAGGTGTGATGACTGGACCTACCAATATTAGTAGTTCACCAGTGCAAGTTTCTGGTAGCTTAGAATATTATCCCGAAGAGACACTGTGGTGGAAATGAGATCTTCAAGAAAGCAGTAACTCTTTTCCCTGATGGACCTAAGCAAATACCATCAAGTGGTTTGTGTTGCTTCATGTCTATGAGCTTTGTGTAAATAATATGAGGCTTTATTGTCTTTGCCCCTGTGTGTGTTTCAAGGGATCAATGCCCTCAGCAATGCATGTAGTCTAGAGGATCTTATTTCTTAGCTTACATGCTGGCATTGGCTAAGGATCAAAAAAAAAAAAAAAAAATTAAACAAATTCTTTAGAATGTGGTTAACTTATTTTTTTGAAATTATGCCCCTGAAAATAAGCCTTAAAATAAACCTGAGTGGGGGAAAGATTAAAAAAAATATCTGGGAGTGCCCCGGAAGGACCAACCGCTTGCAGGAAGCTACCTCATACAAGCTCTTCCGCTACTCTAACCTTCTGAGGAAGGGAGATTACTAAAGTCTCAACTTTCCTCCCCGCAGCCAGTTAAAGACAATTACTAAGTTGCTAATGAATGAAAAAAACAAAGGGAGAGCAAGTCTGTGCTCTGTGAGTTCTGCCCCAGGTCACTTTCTGCCAACCCTACTAGCAGCTTCACCCTGAGAGCAGCATTCAAGCCACACTGCTTGGTGTGGTGAAGATTGAGTGGATGGGAATGGCCTGGCTCTAAGAACTTTAGAGTAGAACAGAATTAGGATGCTTCCTCCTACTTTAAGAAAGTGAGGGGCTGTGAAGGAAAAAGCAATTTCACAGTGAGTCACACTATAGTATTATCTCACAGGGCCTTGCACCCAGTAGGTGTGTGTGTGCCTGAGAGTTATTGGCTAATGAGTAATACTTTTTAAACTTTAATTTATGGGGACAGTATGATCTGACTTGTTACTCACTGAATTAACTGAGGGCAATATCTACACAATAGGTTCTTAATTTGGGTTCCTTGGAAAGATTTCAGGATTCACTTAAAATTCCATACAAAATCGTGTATATGTGTGAACTGTGTGTATTTTCGGGGAAAACCTCCATATATTTAACCAGATTCTCAAAATAGTTATTGAATCAAAATACTGATATATACTCACTGATAATATATTTTTCCAGGGTGCATGTCTTTAATTTTAAAATGCAAATTGTACAAGATATTTAATTATTGAAATAACACACAAGAAATTCTGGATGCAGACTGTTCCATCCATATTAAAGTAGAATTGTTTTGTTTTCTATTTTTAGCTGCAGAAATTTTTCTCTGTATGTTTCTTTATCTAAATGCTACTGCTCTAAACAGTCATCCATGTCATTTTCAGGGGAGGGATTTTCTAAGACATTTAATTTTAGACTATACTGCTCATCTAGTTATTCTAAATTATAGGCACATAAAGGCTGTTTAAGTGAAAAACAAATGTCATTATATTTTACAAAGAAGAATACCCTCTTAATCTGTTATAATTAACATGTATCTGGAATTAGCGAATATTCACACCTCTAAATATACATAGATATAATTTTGTGAAATTCAACAAAAATACGTGAAATTTCAAAGCATGTTCTTTTATCATGAACCATTTTACCACCCTCATACAATGCTGTACAATTAAATGAGATGGATCAAAACTTTAAGAAATAAAATACACCAATCCCTCTATCCCCATTTAATGTCCTTAATTTATTACCCCAAATATGCCTTAAAGCATAAAGGTCTTAAGCAGAGGGAATATCATCATAGTCAAAAAATATTTGAGGTAAGAAACTTGACTTATAAAGGTATGTTTTACATATAAGAGAATGTTCTTTAGAAACATGCATGGCCATAAAAATATTGTTTCTAGCTGTGGCTGTCCCTGTCATCTTCACTCTGTCACTGACTTTTCCCTGCAATTTTTCCAAAAAATTATTTCTTAATCTTTTCATTGTGATACCAACCACAGTTTCATTTCATTGTGTTATTCTTTAGACATATTCATCTAGGTTCATAAAAATATCCCAATATATCCCTTACACATGTGGATAAGTTTACACATAAAGGTCAGAAGGGAGCAGTGAGTAGGGGTGTGAGCACTGGCAGTACTGCTGGGCATACTCTCCTCTGAGTCAAGTGCTGGCTGAACCGAGGGGAGCGTTACAGTATAGACTCAAGGGATTTTTCTTCATTGTTCCTACAAAAAAGAATTTAATTGTGAAAATTAGTGCAAATTCTTCTAAGATGCTATTCAAATAAAAGAGCACATAATGCAAATGTTTCTTAAGAGATGGATAATTGTATGTCCTTATGCATTCCTGAAATATACATAATGTTATGAAGCCCATGGATGTGGAATTTAATGTTGAACATTACAGTCTTCTTAAATGCACACATCTTGCTGTTTTGTGTTTAAAATGGATAAAAGTCCTCTCATAGGTACTGTATCCAATCTTAAGCAATAAAAAGTCATAATGTATAGATGTAGTAAATTGAAGTAAAAAAATATAGCTTATGCTTGATGAATACTTAATAAATAAATTAGAAAATATATTGTAATTACTTATATAATACTTCAGTTCCAACTTCAAGTGTGAAAAATGGCAAAAGTGTGGCACAGTCTAACTGTATAGAGGTAAATTAACACTTTAGAAGTAGGCTTAGATATAGTAAATAGCAATTGAATCAATAGAATTTTTACAAATTACAGTACTACGTTCACACATACACACACCCTTGCGTAAAATTAACCATGTCACACACTAAAAATATCTTTATTTTACTATAGCCAAGGGATTTTACACACATACATAAAGAAGTACTTCAGTCATTACTTATTCCTTAGGTAGAAACAAGCAGGTGATGACGTTTTAGTATTTTGGTGTTTGTTCTTAGTTATTATATTGCTTATAAACATTAACATGATTAACCGTCTTTATTCAATTTTTTCTGCTGCCAAAAGTGATACTTGGTAAGTAATTCAACATCCCCATGCACTTACAAAGATTTACAAGTGGTTAAGAGACACAAAAGGTCCCTGGGTGGCAGTTTGCACTCAACCACTAACCTAAAGGTTAGCAGTTCGAACCCAACTAGCAGTGCTACAAAAGGAAGTCCTGACAATTTGCTTCCGTAAAGATTACAGCCACGAAAACCCTATGGAGCAGTTCTACTCTGTAACACATGGGGTCACCGTGAGTCATAATCGACTTGATGGCAACGAGTGGTTTTTTGTTTTATGAGACACAAAGCTACCCCGGGTCTTATCCAGAAAGAAGATTTTACAAAAGGCCCCTCCCTGTGACTTACCCCGTCTTGTGGAGCCTTTTTTGTTTCCCAAAAGAGCAAATATGTTTAAAATTCCGAATGTGACCCATTTTTCAATAAGATAACTTACCATTTAGTTACTGAGGAAATAGCCACTTCACTTGCTCTCAAAGACACCATTTGGTGCCATGGTTAGCCATTGTGGGTCCCACAATGAACTTCTAAATGTGAAGCTGCAATTTCAGTTTTGTAGACACTGACCAGGTTAAATAGAATAAATTTACCAAGCTAGTTAAAAAACATTCTAACTCCACTTGTTTTCTCACTTCCTGAAGATAAAGTAAGATGAGAAAGTTAAAAAAAAAAGGAAACCACTAATGTGGGGTAAATTTTGATTATTTTTTTTCAATTCTCTGCAAAACTACAATGAAGATGTTTCATAGATGCCCTTAACTTTTCGTAGTTCACAGAGGACATTTGTGTAAAATTGACATCCTTCTTTTAAAATAAAGATGTTCAACTCAACGCAGAATTAGTTTTAAACTAGCCTCATGTTACTTGCTTGTATCAAAGACACATCCTAGATAAGTAATGCAAAACACTATGGTAGTTTTCAGAACTTCAGCTAACCTGTTTAGAGTAAATGAAATAGTGCCCCAATGGTTTTGACCTCATCCAACGAATAATGTGTCTTGTAAAATCTTAGAAAACAATTTAGTACCAAATACCAGGGAGCAAAAGTGTCTATGATTTTTTGTATAAAGTACTAACATTTTTAAAACTGCATAGCATCATGTTCATTCCATAAATAAATTGGAATAAATAAAATCTACCTTTTTCCCAGAATGTCTTCTTTGTAGAATCTCAAACTAACCTAGTTTCCTAAAGGAAAAATTAAACCATTTACAAACTTGAATTTCAATCAAGTGAAGATAAATAGATTCCATAGACTACTGTAATTAATGTCTCATTTTCAAAAATATCTGTACTGTCAAGCTCAAATATAGAATTATAGCAAAACCAAATTTCCTGACTCAGTATGATGCCCTGCTCCATTGTAGCCTCTATCTTCTGAATTCTAAATCCCATCCCCTCTTACCATGGAATATCTTACATGGTAAAATAAAACTAGAACCTGCTTGGAGATGTGATAGCAGTCTTAGCTGTATCTTTCTTTTTACCAGAACTAAGACATAGGTAAAGAGTGACAACATGAGGTGAAAAATAAGACAGGTGGTGACTGACTTGATGTAGTAAGTGGTGAGGGCCAAGTGGTGAGGAATACTGAACGCTATTTTCTCTCATCAGGTTAAAAAAAAAAAAAAAAAAGTGAACTTTATGGAATGCCTTATACCTCATACACTACCATATGGATTACCCAGATAGCAGAAACTTAGTAAATCCTTGTAGAGTTTAATTGCATCTTAACTTAGAACAAAAAGCAGATAAAGCACAATATGATTTTGCAGCCTTCCAGATATAGCTAAGGCTCCTTCCAGATTGGTCATGTTGGAAGAGGAACAATGGTGATGGGCACACAGAAGGAAGTTTGCAAAGCCTCAGAAATTCTCCTCTTTTCAAGAGGGTGTAGATTCTGATAATCATCAAGTTTTCACAGATTTTCCCTTTAGAAGGCAGTACATGTAAGGCTGCCTCAAAATCCTTGTTCCAGTCGAGGCTGTGACTAAATGACACAGCAGTGCTCCAAGCTCATGGATAAATATTCCTGTGATGTCCACAGACCTTCCTCTCAATGTTTAACTAAGATCATGCATTCTCAGGAAAATGAGGCTTTAAAACATGTATTAGTTTCCTAAGGCTGCCATAACAAATTACCACAAACTTAGTGGCTTAAAACAACAGAAATTTATTGTCTCACAGTTCTGGAGGCTAGAAGTTCAAAATCAAGGTGTCGATAGGGCCATGCTCTCTGAAGGCTCTAGGGAGGAAGGGAAGATGCTTCCTTGCTTCTTCCTAGCTTCTGGTGGTTCCCGGCAATCCTTGTCATTCCTTGGCTTGTAAATGTATCACTTCAATCTATGCCTCCCTTTTCACATGGCTATCTTCCCGCTGTGTCTGTGTCTCTTCTCTTTTATAAGGGCATCACTCATATTGGATTAGGACCCACTCTTTTCTGGTGTGACTTCATGGTAACTGATAACATCTTCAAAGACCATATTCCCATATTCCCAAACAGGGTCACAGAGGAGGGGGGATAGGTTAGAACTTCAGCATATCTTACTGGTGGACACAATTCAATCTGTAACAAAACACTTAAAGAATTTCATTTGAAAACGTAAAATTTCATGTTAGATTCTGGGCAAGATAGAACTCAGATCTTTTCAGCCCCTTACCTAGAGAGATGGAGGATAGGTTTTGTGTGTGTGTGGCTTTTACTCACTTGGGTTTCCCATGCTTTGTTTTAGGCCTCCCAGACCTGTAACCAGCATGAATGACACCCTGTTCTCCCACTCTGTTCCCTCCTCAGGAAGTCCTTTTATTACCAGGAGGTAAGTTCCAATCTTATTATAAAATAAGTCCTCTCTTTGGTAATGAGCCTTGATTCTGTGGCAAGAAAAATAGTGTAAAAATTTGGAAACAGATAATGGTTGACAGTTGAACAACATGATAAACATAATTAATGTCACTGAATTGTACATGTAAAAAATGTTAAAGTGGCCAATGTTTTGGTTACATATATATTTACCATGATAACAACAAAAAATTACTGTTTGAAAATAGTTTGTAAGTACCTGCCACAAGTTTTCAATTTCATTCATTTGGATGAATTTGAAGAGGGCTGTTGGCTTTTTAGGGAGCCCTGGTGGCCCAGTGGTTAAAGCACTTGGCTGCTTACCAAAAGGTCCGCAGTTCGAACCCACCAGCTACTCTGCAGGAGAAAGACGTAGCAGTCTGCTTCTGTAAAGATTTACACCTTGAAAACCCTGTGGGGCAATTTTGCTCTGTCCTATTGGGTAGCTTTGAGTCGGAATTCGACTCAACGGCAATAGGTTTGGTTTTTTGGTTTGGTTGGCTTTTTGGATTAATGTCACTTCTGACACTTATAATCTATCAACAGTAAGAATATGGGATATGTTTAAATTTTACTGCTGACACACATGCATTATATCTCATTGAGAAAGTCACTTTCACAGCTCTTATAGTGGTTGATTTAAGACAGGGGATTGGAATTTCGAGGTACAATGGTGTATTATCATACACATCGTGAAACATCTCATTATTTAAAGCTCCAGATATAAAAGAATCCTCTTTTTGGTGAACTCTGGGATTCCTCAGGCTAGAGACTGAAGATCAAACTTGGAAATGTAGCTTCCTTATAAGTAATTTCATAGATAATAACAAGAACTTAAAAGAAAATGGATATGTGCCTCATCTTCTTGTACAAGATTCACTCCCACGTGAACAAAGAGAGGGTGAAACGGATACTTCTTTAAGAGTTACGCATTAGAAACACGCGGGGGTCAAGAGGTGCTCTAAGTCGTTCCATCAAGTATGACCAAAGCACCAGAGAATTATTTTATAAGTACCCGAAGAATGCTCACAGGAAAGCAGAAACAAAGCTGACGAAAATTTGAGTGAGTAACTGAACATAAGACTTCAAATGCCTTTCAGTGGGGAGAAAAAAAAAAAGTACAGCCTCAGACTTTACAAAACAAACATAATTGGTCTTTTCCCTGAAGAGGTTTCTGAGGTACCGATTTCACTGTAATATCTTGGTATGCTCTAGTAAGAATTTGAAGACAGTGAGACATAAAGCGCTGCTAATTTTTTCCCCGAGTTCCTGTACTTGCACATCAACAGGAACCTAAGATAAAGATGTTCCCCATCATTGTAATTAGCGGAATAAACAGAATGTGGCAGTACGTGGTTTTTCAGTTATATGAATTAAGCAAGTCTGTAACAAGCGGAAATGAGGAGGCGATTGAACTGCAAAACATCCACAGTGAAATAATACAGTTTAGGCCTCAGTAATTTTTCATTAGCACTCCTTTTCAGAGTCACCAGCAAATCCAACCAACCATCTTTTCAAAAAAAAAAAAATCTGTAAGTTCTGTGAGCACATGGGCCCGTGCATCTGTCTAGGGAAGACCTGACATAATGTTTAGAAAGATGTTGTGCTTTTATGAAGGAGCTCTGCATTCTGCAAATGTCAAGCCAAGATAGATCCCATCCTTACTGAAGGTCATTTTATATCATTTCAGCTTGGACGGTGCTTATGGTGGATGCGTCTAGATGGATAACATGACTTCCTCTACCCTAACATATCCCTATAATACTCTGAGCTGTTCTGGTTCCTCCAGGGTGCCCACTAACCCAAAATATTATCATTTCCCTTTTTTCCCATTTTCAGTCCTTTTGGCATGTTCCCTGTGAACCACAAACACATTGTTTAAAGCTTGCAGTTCTTCCTATCACCACGGAGACTGGCCTCTTGTTTCTGTTTTAAGGGTGCTGTTCAATAAAGCTGTGTACACTGAATGTCATTCCTCTCTGAGTGGGCCTTGCTCTATCCATGGGAGGTTGTAATGAGATCTCATTGTTTGCATCCCTCAGGTTACCTGAGGGGATAAGTGCACCCAGCCCTGTGGCTGACGAGCATTCACTTATAAAGCTGTATGTCAATCAGCTTGACCACGGCAAACGGTCAGTATCCCAGCCCTGAGTCACTAATCGTAGTAGTAGTTCCATAGCTAGATTGCTAGTCATTCCATTCCATCACTAAAATCCTCTTGTAGCATGTTTCGGGGAGATAAATGTCTTCTGGGGCTTAATGAGGTTCACTTGAGAATTTCCAACTTGAGCTGGATTTGGCTCTTTCCTGTCTTTTCCACTTATTTTATAGCATTCCAATTGATGTCATAGCCTCACACCAGTATATATGAGATGTGTATGTGTGAACCTTCTTGTTTGGATGAGTCTCTGTTTTTATAGTTTGCAAGACCCCAAATGGTGATTCCTAAGACTCTTGAGTTAAAGAGCCTTTGGAACGATCATTAGCACTAACTGGACAAGGCTAGGACAATGTTACATAGCTGGATCTCACTGGAGCTAAAGACTCAAGGTTTTATACATTTCCGTCCCACTGGGCCTGGGCCATTTTTTCCCCAGGTAGGGCAATCAGATTCCTAGAAGTAGCAGTTTCAAAACCAGTTTCACGCTATCAGCACTTAATTTCTGTACTGGATCATGCTGGTGGTGTTCCACTGTTTATTTTTTAACCATGTCCGTGCACTAAGTTGGATGGAGATCCATCATGCTAGCTGTAGGCATAAGTTAGAGATCCTATTGTTCCTATGATTGGAACTGAACAAAAAAAAAATATGACTCTAGAGCTCTGCCCTCACTCATACCGCACTCAGAACTGCGTCTTTTAAAATAAGGTAAAACCTAAACAAGTCAAACCCATGCCTGTCAGTGTTAAGGCAGCATTGAGAACATAGGGAGGTTTGCCATACAGATATTTTATCTGACTTTTCAGGCATCTGCATTGTGACAGATCTTAGAAAGACAAAGCCGAGTGAGGATGAATTGAAATCTCCACCTCAGAATCTCTCACTACAAACTCCCGGCATTACTCACCTAGGATCCGTTACAAGTGTACCACTTTCATCTTCAAAAGGCACTAGGGTATATCATTGAAGCCTTTTGACATTGTGGTAATCTGCCTCACACAGATTTTTGAGTATATAACTCTAGTTACCAGTACCATTTGTCATATCCCGTGTTCTTATATCTTTTTCTAACAATATACTTGATTCACTTTTTCCAAACTTAAAAGAGGGGATAATCAAAGCCCTTCTTCCTTAGCCCTTTGAGGTCTTCTTGTGTTCACGTATGTGTGTACGTTTGTGCACACACGCACCCTCAACGCTAGTTAGCAGTTAGGTAGGATGTGGGTTTAATGATGCAAATCATGGTCCAATTTACCTCATTCATTTTCTTGACTATAAACTGTATCCCTGAACATAGATTGTTTTCTTACACATGCATAAATTTATAGAAAGAATGCCTAGATCGATGGAAATCTACCGTCACCACTAGAATAAGAGCTCGAAGGGCTATATGTGCAAAGACAGCTGCGTTATCTAAGCTTATGAAAGATAGCATATCATTATTGCAAATTGTATTGCAAGGCTGACCACAAATCCAGGTCCAAAAGAGTCTTTCTCCTCGTCACTTCTCACAGTATTGTTCTTAATATCTGCTTTCTTTGTTAGCATTGTACCTCCTTTTTGAAATCTTAATTATTTTGCCAAAATCCTTACGTAGTTTATGGGAGAGAAAAGTTGACCAGTCTTCTCCTATATGAAATGTGTCTTTCATTATGGCTCATCTTTTTCATTGGCCACAATAAGGACACTGTGAAAGTCAGAATGACTAGATGCTTTTACCTCCAATATTAGAAACATCACTTCAAGGTTTCACAGGTCTTTTCATAGTTGTAACCACTAAAGTTGTAACCACACACAAAAAGAATCACTTTGGCTGTTATATAGCATCTAGTCAGATTTTATCACTCTACCAAATATTAGAAAATTGCTTGTAATTCATGGAGTGTTAACACACCCTAACATGCTTTTTTCTGGTTTGTCACAGTAACAAGTGTCTAATTATTAATACAGTATTTGGCTCTGTAGTGCATATGGGAAAGGCACACCACCCACCTTAAGTACTTCTCAAATCTGGATTCTTCCCAGTGCAGCAGTGTTTGTGAGTTATTTTATTTTATTTTTTGATTGACTGGTTGGTCAGTGGGTTGACTGGCTTGGATTTTCAACCAAGGAAAGGCTCAACTCACTGTATCTTTTTCAGTTTTTTCAAACACTTTTGCTTACCCAAAGATTCTTTACCTGTCAGCCCAGGCTTCTGATCTGACTTAAAATGTTTAAACTGAATTTTACCCATTTGTGCTGTGGTAATCTGAAGTGGTTAGAGATCAAAGTTTTCTCCACGGCTAATTTTTTCTAAAATTAAAGCCCATCCCTTTTCGGTCATAAAAATAGGTATAAATTTATAAATTGACATCTGACATCACCTTGAAGATTTCCTCACGCTTTCATCTATGTTTCACATTTTCTGGTCATGTTGTGCGAAATTATCTGCAGATAATTCTTTACCCCATGTTGTACCAGAGCTCCACTAATGTGCTAGATTTTTTCAAACTTGAATTAAACTGATCTTCACACTCAACTCTAACAATTGCCTATACTAAAATATGAGTGCGTAATTAAAAGCACAGTCACCCTGTTCTTCACTTTGATAACCTTTCTTCTCTTACTAGAGTTGCTTTAGTTGTCTGCACGTGCCCTGTACCCAGCAAACTTTTCTAATGACTCTCTTGGCAGAACTACAATTGATGCTGCTTTGCTGTCTTGGGAACAACATAGTACTGAATGTGGTGACTCAAATATGACCTAAGAATTCTTGTTATTTCTTCCCTAGTACCTGCTTAAGATGGTTCAACTTTCACACCAGCCTGAATTATTTA